CTCGCGGGACCGCCGGGACCGCGGCCGCCGCCGCCGCGACGACGACTCCGCGAGCCGCGACCGCGGCCGGAGCCGCCGCGACCGGAGCCGGAGCCGCCGCCGCGACCGCCGGAGCCCGTCGCGGTCCCGGTCCCGGTCCCGCGGCGGCGCGCCGGCGCCCGCGCCCGCCGCGCCGCCCGCGCCGCCGCCGGCCGCGCCCGCCGCGCCGGCCGCGCCGCCGCGCGCGACGGCGCCGGACGTCGCCGCCGCGCTCGCCCGAGCCCGCCAGCTCGCGGGCACGACCGCGCCGCCGCCGCAGCCGCCCATGCGCGGCTTCTACGGCGGCGGCTTCGGCGGCCCGCCGCCGGGCGGCGCGTTCGGCGCGCCGCGGCCCGCGGGCGGCCGCGGCCGCGGCAGCGTCATGCCCGCGTGGATGGCCAAGCTCTCGGACGAGGAGAAGGCCAAGGCCATGGACAACGCCAAGAACCTCCCCGGCGCCGCCTCCTAGCTAGGGGGCGCCCGCGTAAGCGAGTGGCCGCGACGGCCGAGGCCGCGCTTCGGTAGGCTAGACACCTCCGTAACGAGCGGCGCGCGCGGCGCGAGGTCCCGGGCCGCGCGCGCGCGGCCGCCCGCCGCCGCCGCTCGCCGCCGCCGCCGCCGCCGGCGCGCCCGCGCCGCGCCGCGGTCGCCCCCTAGCCCTCGAACTTGCCGAGGATGTCCGAGCCTCTGAGGAGGTGGAGCTCGTCGTCGCCGATCGTCACGGGAGTCGCGCCGTACTCCGGGAGGAGGACGACGTCGCCGACGGCGACGTCCATGGGGATGAGCGCGCCGGCGTCGTCCTTGGCGCCGGGGCCGACGGCGATGACCTCGGCCTCGTTCATCTTCCGCGCGTTCGCGTCGGGCAGGAAGATGCCGCCGGCGGTCTGCGCGGGCGGAGGCGGCGGTTTCGAGCGGCGACGGTTTCGAGCGGCGCGGCGCGCGCGTCGCGGGGGGGGGGGCGTGCGTCGACGCGGCGCCGGCGCCTGGGTCTTGGCCTCGACCTTGCGCACGAGGACGCGGTCGGCGATGGGCACGAGGCGGCGGGCCGTGGAAAACATGCGCGACGCCTGCGTTGCGTCGGACTCGCGCGGCGCGGCGGACGAAGCGATGATGCGCGCGAGAAAGACGGCGAGGCGCCGGAGCGCACCATCGTCTTCTGTGCGCTTCGCCGATCGATGCTGAGTCGGTGGGGGTGGAAGGTGCACTTCATCGTCGACACGCGACATCCGAACTTACGTCCGAGGCGTTCTTCGGATCCAACTAAAATTAAAGTTACCCGCCGAGGCCGCAGTGGGCCCACTCGAAGTCCTCGTAGACGAAGGGCAGGTGGACGTTGCGCGGGTTGAGCTTCTCGTGGAGCTCCGCGTTCGTGTAGCCCCCCTGCGCGCCGTCGCGGCCCGTCACGAGGTCCCGGAGCCGCGCGAGGTGCGACTCGTACGAAACCGCGTGGTAGTCGGCCCGGCTGTGCTCGCCGAAGAGGTCGTAGAAGGGCAGTTTCGCGTCGCGCGCGAAGCCCCAGCAGCCCGACGGGATCGCGCGGTCCGCGTCCTCGGCGGTGTCGTAGTCCCAGGTCTCGTTCAGGCCGCTCAGCCGCGCCTGGGCCCAGACCCGGTCCGCCAGCGAGTGGGACGGCCAGAAGAGGGGGTCGTTGGGCGCCGCGAGCGGGCCCGTGAACGCCGCGGCGGCCGCCGGGTGGAAGACGAGCTTCGCGAAGACCGTCGTCAGCGCGCTGTCCGCGCCGTCGCGGAGGGGCGCCCCGTCGCGGTCGAGCCAGCGCCACCGCGGCGGCGTGCCCGCCTCGTAGGCGATGAAGTCGGACACGCGCGTGCCCTCGGAGCCGCCCGCGGCGAGCTCGAACAAGAGCGTGCTATCCACGGCCGCGTACGCGAGCTCGTACTCCGCCGACGGGTCGCCGGACGCGTTGGCGAGCTTCGCGTCGAGCTTCGCGCAGGTGCAGGCGCAGTCGGCCTCCGCCGTCGCGCCCCGGACGCAGTCGCCGGGCCGCGGGCACGTGATCGGGTACGCCGGGTTCAGCTTCGTGTCGTTGAAGAGGCCCCGCCAGAACAGGTTCAGGTTCAGCACGACGTTCTCCAAAGCCGGCGCGGCCTCGGGGTGCGCCGCGGCGAAGGCCGCGAGGTCGAGGCCCGACCCGGACCGCGGCGGGAACTGGCAGCCCGCCGATCCGCCGACGGCCGTGTGGAGCTCCGCGTGGAGGTCGTACTCGACCCTGGCGCGCAGGGCCGTCGTCGTTTTGGCCGCCAGGGCGCCGCGCAGCGCCGCGCAGCCGGGCAGCCGCGCCTCCGTCTCCAGGCCGCACGAGCTCCGGTACCGCCGCACGGTCCGCGCCGCGTCCGTGTTCCAGGCCTCCGTGAGCGTGCCCCAGGCGTTGGCCTCGGGCCAGCGGTCGAAGCCCAGGGCGCCCTGGGCCGCGAGCGGCAGCGACGCGCCGAAGCCGTTGGCGGCCGCGTCGTACGATTCGTCGTCGGCGAATTTTCCGAAGAAGGCCGCGGAGAACACGGACGAGTTCGCCGCCCAGTCGCGGCCGTAGGCCGCGTCGTCCAGCGTGTAGTCCCAGTAGGGCGCGCCGCCCATGGCCGGGTCCACGGCCGCGAGCGCGAGCTCGAACTCGCGCGTGAACGCCGCGTGCGCCGTCAGGAAGACGTCCGCGCCGTGGTAGGGCGTGCACCCGAGGAGCGTGCGCCGGTCGAGGTGCTTGATGGTGAGCGCCTCGTAGTTCGTGAACCGCGACCCGTACGCGGCGATGCCCGCCTCGAGGCCCAGCGTGTGGATCTCCTTCGTCGCTCGGAAGTAGCGCCGCCGGTCCGCCGCGGAGAGCCGCCGCAGCTCGCGCCGCACGTACTTGCAATAGACGTCGAAGGACCCGACGTCGTTGGCGATGACGTAGCGGCCGCCGGCCATGGTGCAGACGAACGTGAGCGAGGCCGCGGCGGACGCGACGACGTACCCGTGCGCCGCGGACGCGTCGGCGCCGAGCGCGAGCCCGACGGCCTCGCCGAGGGGCGACGTCGCGTAGGTCGCGGCCCAGGCGCCGCCGTCGTCGCCGGACGCGAGGGCCACGGTGCTCTCGCGGTGCGCCTCGGCGATGTACGCGAAGGGGTAGAGCTTCGCGGGCGCCACGGCGCCGTAGTCCGCGTTGCTCACGACGATGGTCGCGCCGTCGGCGGCCGCCGCGACGAGGGACACGGCGGCGCCGCCGCGGCGCTGGAGCGCGACGACGGCCAGCGCCGCCGCGAGGGCCAGGCCCAGGCCGCCCAGGGCGCCGCGCCCCATCGCACTTTGGGTGACACCCAGGCTGCCCCGGTTGGTGCAACGAATCTTCTGGGGCTGCTCCATCGCCCCGGGGTGCGCCGCGATGGCCCACTAGCGTGCGGGACTTCGAGGGCGAGCACTTGGTCGTCGCCGCCTGCGTGCCGCGCGCCGGCGCCCAGCTCCGCGATGGCCAACTACGGCAAGCTCGGCCCCACGGGTGCCATGCTGTCGCAGAAGACGTCGAGCCTCGACGACGAGCACGCCGAGTTCAAGGAGCTCGAGCGCAGCGAGCAGCAGCTCCTCAAGCAGCTCGGCTTCTACAAGGAGCGCGCGGAGACGAAAAAAGAGAGCGACCTCGAGTTCCACCGCATCGTCGGCGCGCAGCTGCCGTCGGCGAGCCAGCCGCGGAGTAAGACGGAGATGAGCCGCGAGAGCTTCGTCATGACCGCGCGCCAGCTCTGGGGGCTCGACGCCGCGGCGGCGTCCGCGGTCTTCCGCGCCGCGGACCTGCGGGGGCTCGACTGCCTGAACCGGCGCGAGTACCTCATCCTGCGCGAGGCCTTCCACCACGCGGACGCGAAGGGCGACCCGGCGCTCACGAAGATCCGGTGCGCGGCGCTCTTCCACAAGTACGACCGCCGCGGCGACGCCGGCAGGCTCACGCGGCTCGACTACCGCGACTTCGTCGCGGATTTGTGCGCGGGCGACACGCACGTGGACCACGTGCTCAAGTCGGTCCTCGGCGCCCGGGAGAAGCTCGGGCGGCCCGGCTTCGACGCCGGGGACATGACGCTCGGCGACTTCTCGCGCGACCTCATGGACGGCGACGTCGCGGCGCTGTTCCAGAAGCGGGGGCCAGTGCAGCAAAAGAGAGCGACATTCCCAACTTCAAAGGCTCATATCTCGGCCGTTTTCCACTCGTTTTGGCTGATTTTTGGACGAGCGATCATCTCTCGGAACGGCCTCGACGCGTAGATGCTTTTTCCGGAACGCGCGCGCGCGGAACACTCACGTTGAAGCGACGTTGAATCACCCTTTTGCTGCCCAGGCGGGGGCTCTCCGGCGGCGACCTCCTCAAGGCCTTCAAGGGCGGCGACTCGCTGCGCCACCGGAGCCGCTGGAGCCGGGCCGGCGCCGAGGGCTTCGACGCGGGCCAGGCGTCGCGGCCGGGGCTGCGCGTGGCGCTCGAAACGAGGGCCTCGCGCTCGACGCGGGCCTCGAGTGCGAGTTCGAGTGGCGCGGGCCGGGCGCCGCGGAGCGCGGGAGCCGGCTCTTCGACCTCGCGTCGTCCGTCGTCGACAACGGCTTCCGGCTCGCGCGGGTCTGCTGCGACGCGCCGCGGGACGTCCTCGACCGCGACTGGCTCGGCGGGCCGGGCCAGTGCCTGGAGGCGCTGTTCGGCGCGGGCGACGAGGCGCGGTGGGCGACCGCGGTCGTCCGCCTCGCGTCCGCGGCGAAGAAGATCGCCGCGGGCCAGCCGGGCCTCGTGCGGGCGCGCCTCCCGACGAAGATCTTCGGCGACGTGCACGGCCAGCTCCGGGACCTGCTCGTGCTCTTCGGCAGCTTCGGCTTCCCGTCGCACAAGCGCGGCGGCGACGTCGAGCTCTGCAGCTACGTCTTCAACGGCGACTACATCGACCGGGGCACGCACCAGTGCGAGGTCGTGGCGCTCCTCTTCGCGCTGAAGGTTTTGTACCCGACGCGGATCTACCTGCTCCGGGGCAACCACGAGTTCAAGGCAGGGCAGGACAAGAGAGCGAAATTCCCAACTTCAAAGGCTCATATCTCGGCCGTTTTCCACTCGTTTCGGCTAATTTTTGGACGAGCGATCATCTCTCGGAACGGTCTCGAAGCATGGATGCTTTTTCCGGAACGCGCGCGCGCGGAACACTCACGTTGAAGTGACGTTGAATCTCTCTTGTCCTGCCCAGGTTCAAGGCGACGTCCGAGAACATGAAGCAGGACAGCTTCCTCGCGGCGGTGGCGCGCACGTTCCCGGACCACCCGGAGGTCTACGACGCCTGTTTTGATGTGTTCGCGTTCCTGCCGCTGGCCGGGCTCGTGGGCGACCGCATCCTGGTCGTCCACGGCGGCGTCGGCGACGGGTCGTGGTCGCTCGAGGACCTCAACGACATCCGGCGGCCGCTGGCGTCGCTGGGCGGCGAGGAGGCCTGGGTCACGCAGGCCCTCTGGTCCGACCCGTCCGACTCCGACGCGGACATGCGGCGCGGCGTCCACAACTCGCCGCGCGGCGGCAAGATAGTCACCTTCGGCCCGGACGTCACGGAGAAGTTCTGCGACGACAACGCGGTGGACGTCGTCGTGCGCTCCCACCAGTACGTCCGCCACGGCTACAAGTACATGCACGGCGGCCGCCTCGTGACGCTCTTCTCCGCGCGGAACTACTTCGGCAAGGAGCGCAACGACAGCGCGATCCTCCTCGTCGCGCGCGACGGCTACGGCCAGATCCGCATCCGCCCCAAGCGCCTGCCGGCGCTGGGGGCCGACGGCGCCGACTACCCGAGCCTCGCCTCGCAGACGTGAGCCTAAAATTCGCACCATGTGGAAGCTTGACGGCCGTTGAAGGCCTCGTTGAAGACGGTGCACGCGAGAGGGCGAGTTCTTTTGTGCAGGACACAGCCTTGTCAAGCTCTGATCGCGTCGCCTCGTGCGTTTTCGCACCTCCACCAGCTCCTCGACACTCCCGCTCAACTCCTCGACACCCCGCACAGCCACCATGCAGACGATCAACCTCAAGATCACCAAGAAGATGAACTGCGGCTCCTGCAGCGGCACGGTGCGCGCGACCCTCGAGGAGCTCGACTTCGTCGTCTCCGCCGCCGTCGACCTCGAGACGCAGACGGCCACCGTCGAGGTCCAGGACGGCGCGTGCAAGTGCGTGAAGAAGGACGCGGCAAGTGCCCCTGCGGCGCCAACTGCCAGTGCGCCCAGGCGGCCATGCGCTCGGCGCTCAAGGCGGTGGGCTACACGTCCGAGGTCACGAACTGCGGCGCGAGCGGCGCGGGCAAGCCCTGCCCCGCCCAGGCGCTGGGCACCTGCACGTGCGGGCCCGACTGCCAGTGCGGCGACAACTGCGACTGCGCGTCGTGCCCCGCCAAGTGCGGCGAGAAGTCCGTCGCGTGCCCGGCGCAAGCGCTCGGCACGTGCACGTGCGGCCCGAACTGCCAGTGCGGCGACAACTGCACCTGCGCCTCCTGCCCCGCCAAGTGCGGGCAGCAGAGCGCCGCCTGCCCGGCCAAGGCCCTCGGCACGTGCACCTGCGGCCCGAACTGCCAGTGCGGCGCGGACTGCGCCTGCGCGTCGTGCCCGGGCAAGGCGACGAAAGTCGCGGTCCCGGACGTCCTCGTCAAGGTCGGCGCGGCGCTCGCGCTGCTGACCATCGGCTTCATCGCCGGCCGCAAGCTCAAGCTCTAGGCGCCTCGATGAGATCCGCCCCGCACCCCCGTCGCTGTTTACGACATCACCCGCGCTTATCCCGGTCCTTGTCCTTCTCGCGCGCGAGGACCTCGAGGGCCGTGTCCCGGGGCGCGAGCGACTCGCGGTGCCGCCGCGCGAGGGACGTGAGCGGCCGGCCGTCGGCGGCGGCGTCCGCGGGCCGGTCGTTGCGGTGGGACCAGCCCGCGCCGGCGGACGCGCCGGCTCTGTCCTTGGTGTAGCCCGTCGACAGCGGCGACACGACGGACGCGAGCGCGGAGAACGGCGGCGGCGGCGCGGCCGCGGCGGGCCGCGGCGACGGGTTCGCGCGCGGCGGCGGCGCGGCGGCTTCGAGCGCTCGCTTCTCGAGCTTGCGCGCCTGCTTCTTCTCCTTCTTCGCCTCTTTTTTCAGGCGCTTCTTCGCCTTCTTGAGCTCCTTCTTCTCGCGGCGGAGCTGCTTGGCGGCGCCGTCGGAGGAGCTGGAGGAACTGGACGAACTGGAGGAACTGGACCGCCGGCGCTTCTTCTTTTCGTGCTTGCCCATGACTTATGCGCGATCGCTGCGATTGTTAGCGACCACTAGAGGGCGTCAGAGGCTTGCGCTAGAGGGAGAATCGATGCCCATCGCGCAGCACTCCAGCTGCAACCAGTCGGAGGTGAAGTGGCAGAATAAATCCAGCGCATCGGCGAGCAGGCATGGCGCGCAAAGCTTCCACGCTCCTGGCGCTGGCGAACGTGGCCTCGGCCCTGTCCGCCGTGCCGCGCAGCGGCCTGTCCCTGACCAAGGCCCTGGCGCCCGAGCTCCTCGACTTCGGCGAGGCGAGCTCGCGGGACGCGGCGGACACGAAGGTGCTCAACTTCGCGAGCCCGTCGGAGATCGAGGCGGCCTTCGCCGGCGCCGGCGTGCCCATCGGCCTCGACGGCGCCGCGGGCCACGAGGACGGTCACCTGCTCACGGCCTGCCGCACGGCCCTCGAGTACTCCGTGAGGACGCGGCACCCGCTGTTCCTGAACCAGTTGTACGGCGGCGTCGACGACGCGGCGCTCGCGGGCGAGTGGCTCGTCGCGGCCTGCAACACGAACGCGCACACCTACGAGGTCGCGCCCGTGTTCACGCTCGTGGAGCGCGCGGTGATCAAGCGCGTCGGGGAGCTCGTGGGCTGGGAGGGCGCGTGCGACGGTCTCACGACGCCGGGAGGGTCCGCGTCGAATCTCTACGGCATGCACATGGCGGCCCACGCGGCGGACCCGGGCCGCCGCACGCGCGGCGCCGCCGGCGGGCGCGCGCTCTGCGCTTTTGTTTCGGCGGACGCGCACTACTCGTATTTGAAGGCGTCGCGGATCATGGGGTTGGGCGACGACAACCTCGTCTCCGTGCCCGTGGACGCGGGCGGCCGCGTGCGCGGCCCGGCTTTGAAAAAGGCCATGGACGACGCGCGGGCCGCGGGCAAGACGCCCTTCTTCGTCGGCAGCACCGCGGGCACGACCGTCCGCGGCGCGTTCGACGACCTCGAGGAGGTCCAGGCCGTCGTCGACGAGTGCGACGAGCCCGTGTGGCACCACGTCGACGGGTCCTGGGGCGGCGCGGCGCTCTGGAGCCCGGCGCTGAAGGCGACGTGGCTCGCGGGCGTCGAGAAGGCCGACTCCATGGCCGTGAACCCGCACAAGCTCATGAACGCGGCGATCTCGTGCGCGGTCTTTGTGACGAGTCCCGCACGCGACGGCGCGCTCGCGGGCACGAATGGCGCCCAGGCGTCGTACCTGTTCCAGCCCGACAAGGAGAACGGGGACCTGGACACGGGCGACAAGACGATCCAGTGCGGCCGCAAGCCCGACGCGTTCAAGCTCTGGCTCATGTGGAAGGCGCTCGGCGACGACGGCATGCGCGCGCGCGTGGAGCGCTGCGTGGCGCTCGCGGACCACGCCGTCGAGGCCATCAAGCGGCGCGAGGCCGACGACGGCGCGCTGGAGCTGGTCATGGCGCCCCACTCGTTCACGAACGTGCTCTTCCGCGTCGTGCCCAAGCACCTGCGGACGCCGCGCGCCGCCGGCGCGGCGGCGGTGGAACGGTCGCCCGAGGATCTCGCGGCGCTGGCCAAGGCGCAGCCCTTCGTCAAGTCGGCCATGCAGCGCGACGGCGACGCGCTCATCGGCTTCCAGGCCTACGGCGAGGCGCAGTACGGCAACGAGGAGATCAACTTCTTCCGCATGGTCGTCGCCCAGGGCGACCTGCTGACGACGGAGCTCCTCGACCACACGCTCGACACGATGGTCAAGCACGCCGACGCGTTCGAGGCGCACTAGGAGGGGGGGGACTTTAATCGACCGTGAGCCGGATGTCCTCGGTGTCGGCGACGCGGCCCGCGGAACACCGGACGTCGTAGGCGCCCGCGGTCGTCGAGCGGACGCCGGCCTCGTCGACGAGGGACAGCGACCGCGGGCGCAACTCCATGGAGACCTTCGTCGACGCGGCGGGCGCGAGGTCGCGGACGCGGGCAAAGTCGAAGAGCTCGCGGAGCGGCGCGTCCGGGCGGCCGACGGCGGCGACGAAGCACGCGACGACGACGTCGCCCGACACGGCGCCGACGTTGCGGACGACGACGGAGAAGCGCGTCGCGGCGCGTCGCGGGACGCGCGTCGGACCGGCCAGGGAGACGGCGAAGGCCGTGTAGCTGAGGCCGAAGCCGAAGCGCCAGAGCGGCGCGACGCGGCGCTCGTCCAAGAAGCGGTACGTGCGGCCCGGCGACGCGGCGCTCGGCCGCATGGCCATGTCGCGGAACGGCGGCAGCCCCGCGTCCGGGAGCATCGTCGCCGTCAGCGCGCCGCCGGGGTTATAGGCGCCGAGGAGCGCGTCGGCGACGGCGACGCCGCCGAACTCGCCGCCGTAGCCGGCGAGCAGGAGCGCCGCCTTGTCCTTCGCGAAGGACGCGTCGACGGCGCCCGCGGAAACGAGGAAGACGGCGACCTGGGCAGCAAAAGGGTGATTCAACGTCGCTTCAACGTGAGTGTTCCGCGCGCGCGCGTTCCGACAAAAGCATCCAGCTGCGAGACCGTCCCGAGAGATGATCGCTCGTCCAAAAATCAGCCGAAACGAGTGGAAAACGACCGAGATAGGAGCCTTTGAAGTTGGGAATTTCGCTCTCTTTTGCTGCCCTGACGGCGACGGGCTTGCCCAGGGCCCAGATCTTCGAGAAGAGCGCCTCCTGGGCGCCGGGGAGCTTGAGGGACGTTCGGTCGACGGACTCGGCCTCGTCGATGGAGAAACACGTCGCGTCCTCCTTGGGCGGGCCGCCCCCGTAGTTGTCGCCGCAGAGGCCGAGCCCCAGGACGACGACGTCCGCCGTTTTCGCGAGGTCCACGGCCTCGTCGAGCGCGGCCGTCGCGGCGCCGGACGCGTTGCAGCCGACGGCGTAGACCACTTTTCCTCCGCGCCATCGCGCCTCGAGCTCCTGGAGCGGCGACCGGAGCAAGTCGGGCGGCGGCGTGCCGTGGTAGCCCGATAAAAGGTTCATGGACGCGTTCGCGTTGGGGCCGATCACGGCGAGCGTGCCCCGGCCGTCGAGCGGGAGTATCTGGTTCGGGTTCTGCAAGAGAACCAGGCCCTCGCGCGCGGCGCGGAGCGCGAGCGCGCGGTGCGCCGGCGAGTCGACGGCGTCGACGTCCGGCCGCGGCACGGGAGCGTCCGCGTCCCAGTCGTCCAAGAGCCCGAGGCGGAGCCGCGCCTCGAGGAGGCGCTCGAGGGGCGGCCGCAGGGCGTCCGGTCGCACCAAACCCGCCGCCAGGGCCTCGGGCAGCGCGGACGTGAGCACCTTGCCGCAGTTGCTGTCGACGCCGGCGGCGATCGCCGCGGCCGCGGCCTCGGCCTCCGTCGCGTAGCGCTTGTGGCGCGCGACCGCGTCCTCGAGCGCGCCGCAGTCCGTCGCGAGTACGCCCGTGAAGTTGAGGGCGCCGCGGAGCGCGCCTCGGAGGAGCGCGCCGTCGGTGCACGCGGGTTCGCCGTTCACGGCGTTGTAGCTGCACATCGCGGCCGCGGCGCCCGCGGCCACGGGCGCGACGAACGGGCCGACGTAGGTCTCCTCGAAGTCGCGCGGAGAAACGCGCGCGTCGAAGCTGTGGCGGTCGTTGGGCGGCGCGCAGGCGGCCGACCCGCACCAGTCCGCCGGCGGCGTGTCCTCGACGTCGACCTCCAGATTATACACCGCGAAATGTTTCACGACGGCGTTCGCCACGCGATAGGCGCCGTCGCCCTGGAAGCCGCGCACGAACTCAGCACCGTAAACCCCGTTCAACAGGGGATCCTCCGAGGGCACCTCCTCGATTCGGCCCCAGCGCGGGTCTCTTGCGAGATTCACGTTCGGGGCGTAGAACGTGAGGCCGAGGCAGCCCTCGAGGGACCGCGCGCAGTCGCTGGCGTTGTGTCGCTGGTTCCAGCGGAACAGCGCTCGCGCCTCCAGCCCGCTCGCGGCGCCGACAGCGCGCCATAAGTCGCGGTCGAACGACGCGCCCATCGCGTGCGGCGCGGGGAACTGCGTCGGGCAGCGGCCGGCGGCGCAGGTGGACCAGACGCCGTGGAGCGCTTCGCCGCCGTAGTTGAGCGCGGGCAGCCCGAGGCGCGGGACGGCGGCGGCCATGGTGCCCATTTGGCTGATGGTCTCGTTGACCGTGAAGCGCGCCGCGAGGTCGGCGACGCGCGCGCGTATGGGGAGCGCGCGGTCGCAATACGGGTAGGCGCTGAGCGGCGGCGTCGAGCAGTCCAAGGCGACGGCGCCGCGAAGGACGAGGACGAGGGCGAGAAGGCGCTCCATCATCGTGTTCTCGATCGATAAGGTGCACTGCACTTTACGCTGCGCTCGGCGACTCCACATCCCCGAGCTTCGGCGGCCCGCGGAGCGCGGCGGCGCGCATGGGCGCCGCGAGGGCCGCGGCGACGACCATCTGGACGGAGTGGTAGGCGACGACGGGGAGGAGGAGCTCGCCCAGGTCCGGGCTGTCGCCGTAGAGCACCGTCAGCAGCGCCGCGGCCTTGGACTCCGTCTTCTGCGACGCCATGAGGCTCACGGCGATGCGGTCCTGGACCGCGAGGTCCCGGCACGCGGCCCAGCAGAGCGCGAGGAGGGTGACGTGCGTCGCGAGGACGAAGACGGCCAGCGCGGCGAGCGTCGCGGGATCGAACCTCGGACCGAACGGCGCGAAGACCGTGCAGAAGAGGAAATAAAAGAGGAAGCACAAGACCACCTTCGTCGCCTTCGCGGCCGCCGCGCGGACGCGCGGCGCGGCGCGGCCGAGCTTCGCCTGCGCGAGGCCGCCCGTCGCGAACGGGAGCGCGATGACCAGGAACAGCGCGCCGACCTTGGCCGCGAGCGGCGCCTCGCCGGCCGAGGCGGGCGAGGTGCCCACGAGGAAGGCGACCGTCGCCGGCGAGACGACGGGCCCCAGGAGGTTGCCCAAAGCCGCGTTCACCGCGGCGACCGACGCGTCGCCGCCCGCGCCTTCCGCGAAGACGACGCCGGTCGTCGTCGTCGTCGGCATGCTCAGGCAGACCATGAGCCCCCGCGCGACGGCGGGCCCGAGGACGGCGGCGTCGAGGCCGCGGCGGTGCACGACGGCGTAGTAGGCGCCCGGCACCGCGACCAGCGAGAGAGCCTGGCACCGCGCGTGGACGCCGATCCGCTTCACGGCCTTGCGCATCGCGTCCCGCGGCAGCGACAGGCCCAGGAGCAGGAAGATGCACGCGATGAGGCCCTTCGAGTAGCGGTGGTAGAGCGCCGCGCCGGCCGCGGGCGCGCGCTGCGCGACGAGGGCGGCGGCGACCATGGCGACGACCATCCAGTGCTGCTGCAGGTGCCGGCGGAGGGACATGGTTCGCTGGGAGGCGCTAGTTCGAATCGCGATAGTGTTGCCGTGGGTGTGTGTTCACGGGGCAGCTTTCAATTCGACCTGGTTCGACGACCTCAGTGCTGTCGCGGATGCGCGCGGGCTGGCTCCATGCGCGCGATGATGTGTCGAGGCCGGGGCAGCTTTGGTTTGTAAATTTCTCTAATTTGGTCTCTAATAGGCTTAGGCTAAGAGGCGCCCCCTCTCAAAACCCCCCACCCTTTTTGCGCCGAGCTCCCAGAGGCGGCGGCGGCGGCGAACTCGTTGTCGGCGAGCTCGAGCATCATGAAAAACGTGCGGAAGCCGACCAGCGGCTCGCAATCGGCGAACTAGTCGTCGATCTCCGGGCTTGAGAAGGTCGTCAAAGAGCGTCGTTCTGCGAACTGGTAGGCGAGGCCGTGGGCGCGGCGACGACGTCCGTGTAGCGGTCGGGGACCTCCGCGACGATGGTGTTCGTCGTCGAGACGGTCGAGCTCGTCGCGTGCGCGCCGACGGCGAGCGCGCTCGTCGCGCCGAGACGGTCGGCCGAGCGCGCAGCGTCGACGGCGTCCGCCGCGCGCGTTTCAGGGCTCCCGCGAGCAGCCGACGCGTTCAGCGCCCGCGTGGGTCTGTCGGCGCCTAGGAGAGCGGCTCCGTGCCGCCGGAGCGGCTCGCGCGGACCGGGTCCGCCGAGGTTGACGCTCGGAACACGTTCCGGCCCGAGGCCGTGCCCGTACGCCGACGCCGTCGTCACACTCGACGCAGCGCCCAACGTAGGGGCGGGGGGTGCCGGGGCGCCCGGCGACGGGGTCGCAGGCGCCCGAGAGGGCCAGGGGTCGCGGCCAGCGACGTGCGCACGATCCGCTTCACGGCTTCGGCGTCCGCTTCAAGCCGGCTGACCAAAAAACCCCCCCACAAAAAAGGGGGGGGGTAAGACGTTTTTAGTGGGCGGCAAATGCACGGTCGGCTGATTTATTACCAGGGGGAGGCGTGGCATTGGCGCGCACAATCCAGGACGTTGCGAGCGAATCGCCGGCAGGCGGTGGACCGGTGGGCAGTCCTCCTAGAACGCCAGAGCAGTGCCAGTCGATTCGTGCTGTCTTCCTACGGCGCCGGAGCCTCCTGAAACAATGCCGCGCGTCGCGAGGTTCGCCCTGGTCCTCCTCCTGGCAAGAGCTGTTCCGGCGGCGGCCTTCCAGGCGCCGCGGACGACGCTCCCGTCGCCGAGGAATACGACGGGCCTGTCCGTCGCCCTGGAGGGCTTCGACGCGAGGATACGCCCGTTCCGGACGCTGCGGACGGTCGCCGCCGCGCCCGGCCGCGCGCTCGCCGCCTACAATTCCGTGGCGGAGCGGAGGCCCGTGAGGACGAACGTGCTCACGGGCGCCGCGGTCATGGGCGTCGGCGACTTCCTCTGCCAGCAGGCCGTGCTTGGCTGCGCGGTCTGCGCGGGCCAGGACTGGCGGCGCACGGCCCACGCGGCGCTCGTCGGCGCGGTCTGGCAGGGCTTGTGTATTCGCCGCATCTTCGCCGCCGCGGACGGCCTGAGCGACCGGATCCAGGCGCGGCTCGGCGACCCGCCGCGGTGGGTCGACGTGCTCGTCCGCACCTTCCTCATGCAGTGCGTGCTGTCCACGGGCGGCAACTACTTCAACATGTCCGCGCGGAAAATCCTCGCCGGCGGCTACGCCGATTTGGGCGCGACGTTCGCGGGCATCAACGCCTGCTTCTTCGACGTCTTCAGGACGGACTGGACCATCTGGCCCCTCTACCTCGGCGTCGCCTTCGCCGTCATCCCGCCGCACGTGCGCCCGGCGACGACGGCCCTCGTCAACGCCTGCTGGGGCATCTACATCTCCTACATGACCGCGCACGCCGGCTGAACATACGACATGGACATACCGCTCCCCGTTCCGTGGGCTGCTCGCGGCCCGCGCGTGCAGAACGCGCGAGCCCCTAACTCGACTTCGCACGGCGCGGTTCCGCTTCCGCGCGCGCCGCGGGGAATTCGAAGTTTGAACCCGAGCGCCCGAGGGCGTGATTCGGAAGATGGCAGTGCGCCGGCTTCCGCATGCAGAAGGAATTTGAATTCGACAGGCCCCCGAACGCCCTCGTGCGACTCGGCTGGGAGTCTGGCAGCGCGAGTCCGGGTGCCGAACGCGCGAGCCCCGAGCTCACCAGCACCGCGGCAACTCGACTACTCAGCACGACCGCTTACAGTCGCAGCGGCGGAGCATGCCCGCGTAGGACCGCGGCGGCCGCACGGTGCGCGCCGCGGCGCAGGCGACGGCCGTCGCCACGTCCGCGCTCGGCCGCGCCGCGAGGAGGGGCGCCCAGAGCCGCTCGACGAAGGACCCCTCCTCGATGTTGTCGCCGCGGGTCAGCGCGCGCTCGAGCGCGGCCCACGCTTTCTCCGGGACGTCGAGGATGCGGTCGCGGGCCGCGGCGAAGGTGCCGCCGTAGCAGACGGGCGCGACCTGTGTGGAAATCAACCAGTAGAATGGACGCCTCCAGCAAAACTTCAAACCTCTCTATCTCGATCAAATCGAAGTCGATTCGGCTGATTTTTGGACGAATCGATTGCTCTCGTCGAGTTCTCGAAGCACAGCCAAAGAGCTTGCGTCGAAACTGTCGCATACGCGCACATTGAAGTCGGGTTGAAGATTTGATTTCCACACAGGGCGCGACGGGGCCGAGCCGGAGCGCCGCCTCGACCGCGGGCTCCGCGTCGAGGAACGCGCGGACGTTCGCGTGCTTGAAGTACGGCGCCGTCGCGTTCGTCGCGCCGCGCTGCTCCCAGGCGTGGTGGTGCTCCGCGACGTGGCCAAAATCCAGCAACACCTCCGTGTCGTGGTACGCGGAGCCGTCGACGTCGGGCGCGCGGCCGCAGCCGAAGCCCGGGCCGCGTTCGCGCGCCGCGGCGCGCGCCATGTCGCACGCGGGCACGGACAGGTGGCGGAAGTCCGCGCGCGACCCGTGGAGGCTCGAGTCCTTGAGGAAGAAGACGAGGCGCCGCAGGCGCTTCCGGCGCCTGCGGACGTGGTGCGCGTACGCGTGGTCGCACCGTCCGACGTTCGGCAGAGTCGTCGCGATGGACCCGTTGGGCGCGCCAACCGGCGCGCGGCCGCACTTGGAATACACATAAACCTCGCGCACGTCGACGGCGCAGGCGCGGAGCGCCTCCGCGAAGCCGTCGAGCCAGCCGAGGTCGTAGGAGCAGTGCGCCACGACGAGCTCCGCGGTCGCCGGTGGCGTCGGGCCGCGCGACCGCGCGAGCGGCGCCCAGTTTTCGTCGCCGCACGTCGCGCAGGACGCGTCCCGCGCCGGCCGCAGGGCCGACCGGCAGGGCCGGCCGTGACCGTCGACGCAGTGCGGCGCCGCGGGCACGGGCCTGCAGTCGCCGGGGCACTTGATGAGGTCGCCCTTGCGGCAGACGTCGCCGTGGTCCAGGTCGTTGAGCGGGTCGTGCCACCAGCCGTCGCTCGCGCAGGCGTCGCGCAGGCGGCTCACGCAGGGCCCGTCGGACTTCTTGGCCGCGCAGTAGGGCTTGCCGAACCATGGTCTGCGGACGCGGCAGTCCGACGGGCAGGCGAGGTCGGCGCCGCTGCAGCGGTCGCCGCCCGACCGCAGCTCCAGCACGCCGGACGCGCACTTGGCGCCGCTCGCGAACGGCGCGAGCGTCGCAGCCCAGGCGACGGCGCGACGAACCATCGTCGTCCGCGACTTCAAACTGACTTCAACAACTGAGGTGAATCGGGCTGGTCCACCCGGAGTTCCTGTCCCCGTGCACGGTGGTGGTGGTCGCTCTCAACCTCCCCCGGTCCACGGCGAGACCGACCTTGAGTGGGGCTTCGAGCCCACGCAGGAGCTGCCGCCCCGCGCCTGCTCGGTCTGGTTCCCTCCGCGGGGGTCCCTCCGCGGACCTGCCTCCCCTCCCCGGACGGACGCAGTCGGGCGCGCATCCCCTTCAATAACTAGTCCAACAACTTGGGCTGCCTCTGCACGATGGCGTGATCGCAGGTCGTTGGGCAGTAACTTACGCGAAGGCATGATTGTAGCCCTGTTCATCGCCGCCGCCGGCGCGCAGGAGTCGCGGAGCCGCGTCTACGCCGCGTCGCTCGCCTTCGCCCGCGCCCATCCCGAAGACGACTGCAAAGGGAAGCAGTCGCCGCCCTGCGAATGTACGAACCGGTCCGACGCCTGGGCGGCGCTCGCGCCGCTCGCCGCGGCCGACGGCCTGCTGCCGGGGGCGCCGAGCGCCGACGACGCGGCCATCGCCGGCGCGACCTTCGGCGGCTGGCGCTTCGAGGCCGACGACGGCCGGCGCTGCGGCCGCTACGCCGTCGACGTCAGCGGCGTCTTCGCGGGAGCGGGCGCGCTGGACTACTTCGCGAAGCACTTCGTGCGCGGGTCGCCGGCGGGCACCGTCGACGTCTACGCGCACCTGCTGGCGACGGGCGCGGAACGCCCGGAGGCCGTCGGCGACGAGCTGCGACGCGTCCTCGGCTCCGCGCTCCGGGCCGCGCGCGTCGAGCCCTACCCGGCCCCGGGCCTCAACGCGTCGACGCTCCAGGTCGCCGCGAACCGCCTCGGGCGCAACGCGAACGCCTTCGCGTGGTTGGAGGAGGTCTTCGATCCCGAGAACACGCTCCACCGCCGGCCGCGCGACAACAAGCGGCCGGGCCTCGCGAACACGCTCTCCATGTGGCGCAACGTCTACCTCGCGTCCGTCCTGCGGCGCGCCAGCGCGTGCGCCTACGCCGTCGTCGCGCGCGCGCGGCCGGACGTCAGGTTGTATCAGCCGCTCGACCTGGGCCAGTGGGTCGACGGCGGCGAGTCGCTGCACGTCGCGTCCTACGCCGCCTCGTGTAGAACGACGTGCAGCGACCGGCGCGTGACCAGGTGGCCCGCGGGCGCCTGCTGGCTCGACGACATGGTCGCCGTCGGGCCGGCCGAGGCCGTGGACGCCTACGAGCGCCTCTTCCCGTCGCTGGCGACGTTCCTGTGGTGGTTTCCCGCGCACGTGGCCACGGCGCTGAACCAGTTCCCCGAGCGGCTGGCGCTCGCGCACGCGGACTGGCTCGCCAAGTCGGGGAGGAATTTTCGCTGGGACGTAAAACTCCCGGCGGCCGCGTTCCGGCGCCGCGGCGCGTCCGACGTGTTCGGCGTCGCCGTCATCGACCACACGCACCGCACCCATCGAAACGAGGACGCCGTCTACGCCCCGAGGTATCGCGCGCCGGGCCGTTAACGTTACCCGAAGCGCCGCCTCCGCGCCGCGGGGCTCCTCAGCTCCGAGCTCCACCAGGACCAGGCCCATCGGAGGAGTCGCACGGGGATCGACAGGCCCGGCTCCGCGTCGTCGGGCCGGCACGGCGCGCAGAAGAGCTCCGGCGGCTCGTCGGGCACCTCGTCCTCCGGCGTCGGTCCCGCGTAGCCCATGGCCCGCAGCTGTCCGCGGAGCGCCTCGATCTCCGCCTCGACGACGCTCCTGACCACGGCGCGCTCGCGCGGGTCGGGGAAGCGCCGCTCGAGCTCCGACATCTCCGACCAGCGTAGCTCCGGTTGTCGCGCGGCCTCCTCGTCGTCGTCGCTCTCGACGGGCGCCTCGGGCGGCGGCGACGTCGTGTGCCGCGCGCGGCTCGCGGACCGCAGCTCGACGTCGCCGAGGGACGCCCGATCCGGCGCGTCCGCGTCGCGGCGCGCGGCCCACTGGCGCGCGGCGGCGGCCGGCGGCGGCGGCGCGGCCGCGGGCGGCTCCGACGGCGGCAGCGGCGGCGGCACGGCGTAGGCCGCCATCTTCGACACGGCGCTCAGGTCCGGCGACCGCTGCGACGACGCCGCCGAGGCGACCGACGACTCCGACGACCGCTGCGGCGGCGAGCGTGGCTGCGGCGTCGTCGGTGGCGGCGGCTGCGCGGCGGCGGCGTCCCCGACGTCGGTCGCGGCCTGCAGCGGCGAGCTCACGACGACGACGTCGCCGTCGTCCTCGTCGATCTGCACGACCGTCTTCGCCTCGTCGTCGTCGTCGGAGGCTGCCATTGCGGCTCTCGACGAGGGGGCAGCCTCGATGGCAGCCTCGAGATTTTGCAGGTGCTACAGTTCAAGAACCGCTGCAAGGCAGCGTTTTTGGCGAATTCTAGTGGAGAATGGAGGCCTGAGAGGATGTCATCCATGTTCTTGCGCGCCTGTGCGCGGCGCGCAGCCGCCACGGCCAGCATCGCGACGTCCTGGTCGGTTTCCCAAAGCAACGAACGGCTCGTGTCGTCCGACGAGCTGGCGTCGCACGACGAACGTCTCGTGTCGTCCGACGAGCTGGCGTCGCACGACTTCACGCCCGTCGCCGAGGGCGGCAGCGGGCGGCTCTGGGTGTCGTATAAACGGGGCGTCTACGACGTGACGGACTGGGCCGCGCAGCACCCCGGCGGCCTCGCGAATTTGAAGATGGCGGCCGGCGGGCCCGTCGACGCCTACTGGGCGCACTGGTCCGTGCACGTGCAGGACCCGAGCGCGGCCCTGCCGGTGCTGGAGAAGTACCGCGTCGGCCGGCTCGCGGAGGACGAGGAGGACGACGACGACGACCCGTACGCGGACGAGCCGGATCGCGCCGCGCGGATCGCGGCGGGGCTCCGGCCTCTGAAGGCCGGCGCGGGCGGCAAAGCCACCGGCCCCTTCGAGGCCGAGTGCGACGTTCCCGGCTTGTCGTTCCTGACGCCCGCGGACATCTTCTACGTGCGGAACCACGCGCCCGCGCCGCCGGAGGACGCGCCGGCCTTTTGCGTCGGCCTCGCCGACGGCTCCGGCGTCAGCGTGCGCGTCGACGCGCTGCGGCGCGGCGACTTCGGCCCCGTCGTGTCGCTGCCGGTGACCGTGCAGTGCTCCGGGAACCGCCTGCGCGAGGCGGGCGCCGCCATCGGCGGCGTCAACGGCTGGACGGGCCGCGGGTCGGGCTACGGCCTCATCTCGACGGCGACGTGGGAGGGCGTGCGCCTCGCGGACGTCTTGGAGGCGACGGGCGCGCTCGCCGGGTCCGGCGGCGACTGGCACGTCGAGGCGACGGGCCGCGACGGCTACGCGAACTCCGTCCCGCTGCGCGACGTCGCCTCGAACGACGCGCTCCTCGCCTTCGGGATGAACGGCGGGCCCCTGCCCCGGGACCACGGCGCGCCGCTGCGCCTCGTGCTGCCGGGCTGCGTCGGCGCGCGCCAGGTCAAGTGGCTCGACGGCGTGCGGCTGCTGCCCGAGCGGTCCGAGGCGCCCTGGCAGCGGTCGTTCTACACGTTCCCGGACGGATCGCCCGTGCGCCACTGGCCCGTGTGCTCCGCGGCGACGGCCTACGACCCGGCGACGCGGGAGCTCCGGGGCTTCGCGTACGCGGGCGACGGCCGGGGCGTCGCCCGCGTCGACGTGTCCTTCGACGGCGGCGAGACGTGGACCGCCGCGGCGCTCGAGCCGCCGGCGGTCCGCGACGACGCGCGCTGGGCCTGGCGGCTCTGGCGCGCGGCGGCGCCGCGGGACGCGACAACGCTGGACTGCGCCGTGCGCGCGACGGACCTCGCGGGCGTCGCGCAGCCCCTCGCGCCGCGCGACGCCATCGCGCACATGCCCAAGGGCTACCTCTTCAACGCGGTCCACCGCGTCGCCTTCGACGCGGCCGAGCCCGTCCACTGCAACCGGCTCAATTAACTTGTCGCGGCGAAGAGGCGCAGCACGCGCGCGCGCCAGCCCCGCGCGGCCGCGGCCACCGCGGCGGCGACGCGCGCCGTCGCGGCGGCGACGGGCGGGAACGCGGGGAGCGCGTCGGCGAGGAACGGCACGTAGGGCACGGCGAAGAACGCGACGGCCGCGCCGACGATGGTCGCGTCGAGCGCCCGGTCCAGGCGCTTCTCCAGGTGCGCGACGTCGAGCGCGCGCTCGAGGCCCGCGAGCCGCGTCTTCGCCGCGCGGTACGCGCGCCTCAGTCGCGGCGGCGCCGCGGGCAGGTGGTCCGACAGCTCCCGCGGCACATGCTTCTCGAGCTCGTGGAGCGCCTGGGCCGTCCGCCGCTCGACGGCCTCGACGGCCTGCGTCGTCCGCGAAAACGTCGTGACGTTGTAGCCCAAACGCGACCGCGCGTCCGACCAATGTGGCATCGCGCCCGCGTAGTCGGCGTCGTCGCAGGCCCGCCAGCCGTCGACCTTGCCCTCGCGGACGAGCTGGAAGCCCCGGGCCCGCGCGCCGGGGTAGAGGCCGTCGAAGAGGGGGGTGCCCGTCGCCGCCTCGGCCGCCTTCATCCGCGCGAGCGACGACGCCTCGACGATGGCCTCGAGCCGCGCGTCGTCGACGGTGTTTGAAAAGGCCGCGCCCTTGAGCCAGACGAGCAAGCCGCGGAGCGTCGCCACGGGGTCGTCCTTGAGGGCCTCGTATCTAAGAAAGAAGACGTCCGCCGTCGCGTTCGCGTAGGACAGCGCGTGGTCCGCCCAGTCGTAGCCGTACTGAGATTTGTCGCTCGCCAGGAACTCGGCGTAGGTCCCGTCGAAGTTGCCCAGCTGCCTCTGGAAGGCGTAGTAGGAGCAGAGCGCGGACCGGCCGTCGCGGACGACGTAGACGATGCGCCGCCAGCGCGCGGGGCAGTTCGGGCCTACGACGTCCACGATGGTTCATCTCTCGAACGTCGCCGCGGGACGCCGGCGCGGGCAGAGGCACTGGAAGGACTCGACGTTTTTCAGCACGCCGCACGGCCGCCCGCCGCGGGCCTGGTGCTCCGCCGTGCCCACGGGGTGCGCCAGGTAGGGCTGGTGGCTCTTGTAGACGCGGGGCCAGAACGCCGCGCGGGTCCGCGGCGGCGCGAAGCGCCGGCGGTTCGGGCCCAGCTCGAGGTCGGGGACGAGCGCCTCCGCGGCCTGGGCAGCACAAGGGTGATTCAACGTCGCTTCAACGTGAGTGTTCCGCGCGCGCGCGTTACAGAAAACACATCCACGCTTCGAGACCGTTCCGAGAGATGATCGCTCGTCCAAAAATCAGCCGAAACGAGTGGAAAATGGCCGAGATCGGAGCCTTTGAAGTTGGGAATTTCGCTCTCTTGTGCTGCCCTGTCGGCGGCCTCGAAGCTCAGGGGCGCCTTGCCGCTCCCGCGGAGCAGCTCCACCACCAAGAACCGCGCCCAGTGCGAGCCGGACTTGGGGAAGCTCGCGAGCAGCACGTCGCTCGGGACCGGCGTCTCCCGCTCGACGGCGGCGGCGAACTGCCGGCGGTCGATCACGACGACGACGGCCGCGATGGCCGCGAAGAGCGCCGCGAAGATGGCGACGACGGCGTAGGAGACGGGCTCCCGCTTCGGCTTCTCCTGCTTCGTGCCCGCGGAGAAGGACACGCGCTTCTTCGGCTTCTTCGGCGCGGCGTCCTTGCTCGCGGCAGCGTTTTTGGTGTTGTTCGCGTCGTCCTTCGGCTCGTCTTTCGTCATGCCGTTCGATACGCCTTGCGGTGTGTCTTGCGGCGCCTCTTTTTCGTCGTTCATTGCGTCTTCGGAGCACTTTGCAGCGCCTATTTACGCGCGTTTTTGCGCGCCCAGGTCTCAGGAGCTTCGAACGATCGAGGTCATCGTTGACGCCAAGTTGATGCGATATTGATGCGAACGCTATGGCTCCGCGCCGCGCCTGCGCCTCGCCGCCGCCGCCGCAGCTCCTTTCTTACGGTATGCTACCTCGCGAAGCCCGCGGCCTTGACGTCCTTCTCGAGCTGGGTGACGATCTTGTCCTCGGACATCTGCTTGATGATGCCGCCTTCGTACTCGCAGCGCCGCGCCGCGATGACGCCGCCGGCGACGGAGACCTCGACGCCGCCCTCGCCGCCCGCCCGGGCCGGCGCCGGCTTTTTCTCTTTCTTGGCGTCCGCGTCCCAGTCGTCTTTGTCGTCGTCCTTGTCAGCGTAGCCCGTGTTGCGCGGCGCGAAGACGAGCCGCACGCCGGAATCGGCTTGCTCGAGCTTCACGGGCGTCGTTAATTTCACCGTCGCGGACTTCTTATCGATGACGGCGCGCTCCGCCCACGCGGCGACCCAGTCGACGAGCGCTGCGTCGTCTGAGGCAAATGCGGAGCTAGAGTAGAGCGTAGCCTCGTAGTCGACGGCGCACAGTGCTGTTGGCCTTGTCGGCGCGCAGCGCTGCCCGCGCGGCGCGAACGCAGAGCTTGAAGTGGCCAGCAAAGCGATGGCTAGCAGCATCGTCGAGCAATCCGAGTGCAAGGTGCGAAGATGAAGCGAGATTTGCCACAAGAGGTTGGGAGGCGCTCGTGGGGTGAGGGTGCGGCTCGACGCGGAGAGAAGCTCGCGGGCTCTCGCGTCGCAAGCGCGGGTGGGCGCAGCGCGATGGACTGGAAAGAACGCCAAACGACGAAAAAGAAGGACGACACGGTCGAGAAGGCGCGCCTGGCGCGCGAGGCGCGCGCCCAGCAGCGCCAGCAAGTGAAGCCCGCGCTGGCCCTCGGCCGCGCGGCGCGCGGCTTCCTCGCCCGGCGCCGCGTCGCGCGTCTCTGCGGCGAGCGCGTCGACCGGAAGCTCGGCGACATCCTGAAGCTCAAGGCCTTCCTCGCGACGGCCGGCAAGAACTTCGTCGCGCCGGCCGAGACCGCGGCGCCGCTCCTGCGCGAGGTCGCGTTCGCGACGCCCGACGCCGCGCGGCTCGCCCGCGTCTGCGAGGCCGTGCTCGTGCCCGGGCTGTCGGAGGCGCCCGCGGGCGACGCGCGCCTCGACCTCGGGGCCGACGCGTCGCCGGCGCACCGCTGGCGCCTCGAGCGCGTCGCGCGGCAGCTCTGGGCCGCGGGCCTCGCGGGCCGCGCGCCGGCCCTCGTCGACGCCGTCGGCCTGCTCGTGACGCGCGCCGCGTTCCTGGCGCACCGTCTGGTGGACCTCTGGGTCGACGACGGCGGCGCGCTGCGGCGCGCCGTCGACGCGGGCTACGACAGGGCGGCGAAGTTGGAGCCGCGCGAGTCCGGCGACCGCGCCGTCGACGGAAGCGTGGCGTCCGCGGTCGCCATCGCCGCCGGGGGCGCGGCCGACGCCGGCCGCGGCGGGCTCTTCGCCGCGCGCTTGTGGCCGGCGCCGCTGCTCTGCGACGTCGCGGGGCCGAGGGGGCGCGAGGCGCTCGCGACGCGCGGGACGCGCGACGCGCTCGCGGAGCTCGCGACGCGCCCGCCCGCCGGCGGCTCGGAGCGCTCCGGCGTCGACGCCGCGGCCTGGCTTCTAGGCGCGCTCGGCGCGCTCGGCCGGCGCCTGCTGGTCGAGGACGCCTCCCTCGCGCGGCCGTTCGCCCTGGCCGTCGCGGCCGCCCTAGCCGCGACGGACAACGCCGCCGCCGTGCTCTGCGACGAGGACGCCGTCATCTGCTGGAAGGTCGTGAACGGCGCCAAGCAGCCCGTCGTCGCGTGCGCGCGGTTGCGGTGGCACGCGTCGCGGAGCTTCGAGGCGCGCGAGGGCGTCGTCGCGCCGCTCGCGGACGCGCTCATCGCGAAGCGCGACTGCGCGTTCTTGGACGCGTCGAGTGCGGCCGACGACGCGCTCGACGCCGACCTCGCGGGCCTGTCCGCGGACGCGCTCTCCGAGGCCGCGGCGAAGAAGAAGCGGTCCCTTTTGGCGGACGTCGTCGGCTCGAGGTGGGCGCGGAAGCTCGAGGCGACGGCGGGCTCCGTCGAGAGCTCCTTCGCCAAGGCCTTTGGCCTGTCGTCGTCGAAGAAGAGCAGCCCGCTCGCGGACGTGACCGCGGCGTCGCGCGCGGCCGCGCGCGACGCGGCGGCGGCGGCGCCGCCGCCGGCCTACTCGGACGACGACGAGCGGGACCTCGAGGCCTTTGGGCGCTTCTTCTGCCTCGGCCTCGCCGCCGCGTGCCCGCGGCTGCGCGTCGCGGCGCTGACGGCGCTCGCGTTCCACGACGACGGGCCGAGGAGGCTCTGGGGCTATTTGCAGGCGCGGCACGCGCGCGCGTTGGCGCCGTCCCTCGAGCGCTACTTCGGCGCGGCGAGCGCGCCGAATCCGCCGCCGCGCGACGTCGTCGTCGCGCTGGCGTGCGTCGCGCTGCTGCGCCACGCGCTGCTCATCGTCGACGACGACGAGCTCAGGGACCGGTCGCGGCCCGCGGCGCCCTTCCAGCTGCGGCGCGTCGCCGAGGCGCTGAAGCGGGGCCTCTTCGCCCACTGCTGGCGCGAGGGCGGACCGGACCGGCGGCGCGACGCCTACGGGGGCTGGTGCGCGGCGCTCCTCCACGACCTGCACGCTCGGTCGTGCCGCCGGCCCTTCGCGAGGCCCGCGCTCTGGCTCGTCGCCGAGGCCGACGAGGGCGCCGCGCGCGAGGAGCTCCGGAAAGGGGCGACGCGGCGCAGCCGCCTGCTGCTGGCGTCCATGCCCTTCGCTTTGCCGTTCCGCGCGCGCGTCCGCCTGTTCCAGGAGAAGGTGTGCCCCGACGGCCAGTCGAACGCGCGCGCGGAGGAGATCCGCTTCTTCGACGCGTCGTCGCCGCGGCCGACGGACAAGACGATCGTGCGCGTCCGGCGGAGCCACGTGTTAGACGACGGCCTGGACCGCATCGCGGGCCTCTCGCCGGCGGCGCTGAAAGGCCGGTTGTCGGTCGCGTTCGTCGACGACTGGGGCCGCGCGGAGGCGGGCATCGACGCGGGCGGGCTGTTCAAGGAGTTCTGGACGGAGCTGAGCGGCGCGGCGTTCTCCATGGACTTTGGGCTCTTCAAGACGACGGCGCACGACGGGTTGCTGTTTCCGAACCCGGATTCCGCGTTCGTCCACGGCGAGCGCGACCACCTGCGCCTCTTCCACTTTCTTGGGCGGGTGCTGGGCAAGGCGCTGCGCGAGGGCATCACGATCCAGCCGCGGTTCACGCGGAGCTTCCTGTCGTTCGTGCGGGGCGACTTCAACTACGTCACGCTGCTCGAGGACCTGAAGTCGCTGGACCCGGACCTCCACCGGAACTTGAAGTTTTTGCAGCTCTACGACGGCGACGTCGCGGATCTCGGGCTGGACTTCTCCGTGTCCTTCGATCGTTTCGGCGAGTGCGTGACGGCGAATTTGATACCGAACGGCGCCGACGTCGAGGTCACGCGCGCGAACCGCCACGCGTACGTCCAGGCCGTGGCCAACAGAGCCACAAAAGGGTGATTCAACATCGCTTCATGGGAGTGTTCCGCGCGCGCGTGTTCCGGGAAAGGCATCCACGCTTCGAGACCGTTCCGAGAGATGATCGCTCGTCCAAAAATCAGCCGAAACGAGTGGAAAACGGCCGAGAGAGGAGCCTTTGAAGTTGGGAATGTCGCACCCTTTTCCTGCCCAGGTCGCCAAGTTCCACATGGTCGACCGCCTCGACGCGCAGTCCCGGGCCTTCGTCGGTGGTCTAGGCGACGTCGTCGACCTGGCGCTGCTGCGCCGCTTCTCGGAGCCGGAGCTCCAGCTGCTGATCTCGGGCGCGGAGGACGCGGTCGACGTCGACGACCTCAAGGCCCACGCGCGGTACGAGGGCTACCTGCCCGGCGACAAGCACGTGAAGCGCTTCTGGGCCGCGCTCCGGAGCCTGCGGCCCGCGGACCGCGCCGCGCTGCTCAAGTTCGTCACCGCGTGCGAGCGCGCGCCGCCGCTGGGCTTCGCCGCGCTCGCGCCGCCCTTCACGATCCGCAAGGTGCCCATCCTGCGCGACGCGGACAAGCTCCCGACGGCGTCGACCTGCTTCAACGTCCTGAAGCTGCCGACCTACTCGTCCGAGGCCGTGCTGCGCGCGCGGCTCCTCACGTCCGTCCACTCGGGCGCGGGCTTCGACCTGAGCTAACACTCCGGGGAACGCGCCGCGAAAAAAACGGTTACCACCTAGACGAGGCCGACCTCCTTCGCCGGGGTCCCTAGCACGGCCTGCGCGTCGCGGCGCGTCTTCCGCGTGGCGACGAAGCCGGCTACGCCTACGAGCACGGACCCTGCGGCGGCCTCCGCGACCCACGGGACGCTAAAACCCGCCGTCGCCGTCGCGGCCTCGTCATCGCTGATGGCCGCGGAGATGCCGCAGCGCTGCTCGAGGCACGCGCGCGCCTCGGCGTGCTGCGCGCTCTTCGTGTAGGCGATGTAGGCCTCCATGTTCGTGGCCTCGCACACGATCTCCTGGATCTTGTCGCAGCCGCCCGCGCGGCTGAGGTACGACGCGAACCTACCGGGATCGACGTGAGAGGTCGGGCGACGAAAGACGATCGGCGAAGGTCGGGCGACAAAAGACGATCGGCGAACGGCGAAAGACGATCGGCGAGAGCCCGGCGACAAAGGACGCCGGGCGCGCACGCCCACTGGCAGACGCACCAGTTCTCGACGTCGCACTCGCCGGCGCCGTAGGAGCCCGTGCCGTCGTCGCACCGCATGGCGCTCGCGCACCAGTTCGGCTGGCCCGTGACGTCGCAGAAGTTGCCGTTCGACGTCGACTTCATGTTGATGCAGATGTGGTGGCTGCCGGCGTCGTCGTAGCGGTCCACGCACTGGCCCTCGCGCGTGTAGCCCGTGAGGGCCATGCCCGCGCCGCTGCAGTGCTCGAGCTCCTTGCCCAGCACGTTCTTGTAGGCGGTGGTCGCCGTGATCTGCGCGAGGAGGAGGACGGCCCTCATAGTGCTGCGATGCTTCGTGCTGCGATGCTCTGCGTGCGGCCACGACTGAGGCGCTTCTCGAGCCCGATGAAGTGAAGCGGCCACGCAGCTCGAGACGGGCAATAAAAACAGCTGAATCGATGATGAAGGCAATGTAAACTTGGGGCCCCCTGAGACTTCAAACCATGTGCATCTGAAGAACGTCCAAGCGTGTCGCGGCGGGAGGGGTTCTGGGCTAGCGGACGGGGGGGGGCGCGCGTCCGACACAGACCCCCCATGACGACCCCGCCGCGCCCGCACCGCGCATCCCGCGACTGCCATTCACACGCCCGGTCCCCGCTGTCCGCGGCGCCGGGCGCCGGCGCGTGAAGGGCAGCACCCCATCTGAGCGAGCGGCGACCCCCCAATCCCGCCACCCCGCCGCTCCCCCCGCCGGCGACCCGACGCGCCGCCCACCGTCCGCTTCCCCTTCTTCGAGCCCGGTTCGCTTGCGACCAGCCCCTCCCCCAAAACAAATTTTTTTTTTCCGGAACGATCAAGTTCGACTTGTGCGTCCGCGCGCGATCGACTTTTCAAAACAACAAAAATCCTATGTGAGCTGCACGGAACTAGACCCGACAATAGCCTGAACTGGGTCGCTGTGTGTTCTACCGACCGAAAAGAACCAGCTGGCGAACGGTCCCTTGCCAAGGGCGTGCAGCGCGGATCCAGCGTCCCCAGCGAAACCGAAACAACACTCACCGCACCCCTGTAGGTCGAAGCGTATACACCTGCCGCAGGGCTCAACAGACCTTTACCCAACGCGCGCAGGATGGCAGCCTCTCTGGTGGCACCAGAACCCGTCTAGGGGGGGCACGAAATAGTAACAGACGGTGCACACGATGATGCCGACCTCGAAGGCTGCCCAGCGCCGGCGCCGCGCAACGATGTCCATGATGGAGGCCATGCGCGCGATGATGGCCGAGGCGAAGCGCGTCAAGGCCGAGGCCGCGGCGGCGGAGGCGGCGGCGGAGGCGTCGTCGTCGTCGGGCGCGCAGGACGCCGGCTCGGACGTGTCCGAGGACGCGGCGCACCGGCCCGTGGACCCGGGCCTCGACGGCGCCTGCGCGGCGGCGGCGAGGTACGTCGCCGAGGGCCGGGACCCGCTCATCGCCGCGCGCCGCAAGCACTGGTACGCCGCGGAGGCCTGCGCGCCCGTCGCGCTCCGGGGGCTCCTGGACGCGGCCGACGTCGCCGAGGCGCACGCGGCGGCCGCCGCGCTCGCAGCCGCGGGCCAGAGCGCGCGCCACTTCAAGGACGCCACGGCGGCGTCGACGCTGGGGCACGCCATCGTCTACCTGCACGCCGGCGGCTACTTCCAGGCGCGCCACGCGCGCCTCTTCGCGAAGATCGAGCGCGCGATGCGGAGCCGCGCGCCGGCGTCGTGGACCTGCTGCGACCGCGACGAGGCCCTGCGCGTGCGCTGCATCGAGCACCACACCTACGGCGCCGGGAGCGGCCTGCTCATGGCCAACCACCGGGACAACGACTCGTGCCTCACGGTCTCCGCGCTCCTCTCCGACGGCCACGGCGGCGGCCGCTTCGTCACCTACCGCGACGGCAGGCCGCAGCCCCACGACCTCGGCGCGGGCGACGCCGTCCTCTTCCCCTCGGAGAAGCTCCACAACATCGAGACCGTCACGAGCGGCGTCCGCACGGCGCTCGTCGTCGAGCTCTGGCGCGACAAGACCAACGCGAAGGACCGGTTCCAGTGACGGCGCGCCGCCTCCCTCTCGTTAAGCGCCCTGTTTGTAGTCAGGGCCGGATGGCGCGCCCGATCGCGTCGTGGATTCGTCTTAAGATTCGTCGATCGGTCCGCGCTTCAACTAGTACACGTTGACCGCCAACCGGGTCGGAGGACAAGACGGTCAAGGTGTGGGGCTGCTGACGTAGGTCGTAAGCTGCTACTCGGCGCCTAGGGCCGCCGCGCGCGGTCGTTGCGCACTTGCCTATCGGGGTCGGTAAGTTGCACGCGTGGATGCACTCACCTGGAGGAATCCACCGCTTATGGAGCGCTTTGGGGCTGCCCTAGGTAGAGCCATGCTTGTGTTCGCGGTCGCCCTGGTCGCCGCGGTGCGGTGCGCGGCCGCGCCCAGGAGCGACGCGCTCGCCTACGAGGCCGACGGCGTCGCGGTCTGGCGCGGCGTCGTCGCCGCCGACGAGGTCGCCGCGCTGCGTGGAGCCTACGACGCCTGGGCGGCGAACGCGTCCTTCGACGGCGCCGTGACCGTGAACTTCTGCTCGCCGTGGCCGACGCTGTGGCCCGGCGCGCCGGCCTGCGACTCCGGCGTCGCGCCGATCGTCGAGGACCTCCTGCGGGCCGCGGCGGCCGCGGCCGCGCGGACAATCGTGGCGACGGAGGCGCGCGCGCGCGGCTACCCGCTCACGCTCGCGGCCGTGAGCGTCGCGACGAGCCTGCCGTCGTCGCCGGCGGCGGCGCCGGCGCGCGCCTTCGAGCCGGGGCTCGAGGTGGAGTACGTCCTGATCCCGCTCGGCGCCGCGCCCGCGGACGGCGGCGCGTGGGAGGTCTGGCCCGGGTCCCACCGGACCGCCGCGGTCGCGGGCGACGGCGTCGTCGTCGCGACGGCGCCGGGCGACGTCATCGGGCTCCGGCCCGCCGTCTTCCACCGGCGGACGGCGAATTCCTTCGCGGCGCCGCGCCCGTGCCTCGTCGCCGCGTTCGTGCCCGCGGTCCACGGCTACGGCTCCTCCGCCGGCCCGCGGCGCTTCGACGCGCTCGCCGACGCGCGGGACCAGCTGCGCGTCGTCCTCGACTTCGGGCCGCCGCGCCCGTCCGAGCGCTACGGCGGCCGGCGCCTCGAAATCGCCGACGCGCTCCTCGGCGACCTCCGCGCCGCCGCGGGCGATCCCCTCGCCGCGTTCCGGCGGTCGCCGGCCTACGAGGCTCTGGGCCGGGGCGTGAACGGCGCCTGCGCGCTCGCCGCGGCCCTCGCGGCGGCGCGCGGAGACGCGCCCGCGGACCTCGGCGTCGGCGGCGCGCGGCGCTGCCCGGGCCTCGCGACGACGGCCGAGGCCCTCGTCGCGGCGGCGCACGTCGCCCAGTTCCGCGCCGCGTCGCCCGTCGCGCCGGCGCGCGTCTTCGAGCTCGCGCCGGCGAGCCCGCAGCTCGCGTTCGAGATCGCGCGGTCCGCGGCCGTCGAGTCGTACGCGTCCGCGGACCTGCCGCTGCTGTCGGCGCTCCAGTGCGCGGCGCTCGCGGCGAGCGGCCTGCGGCCCTTCCCCTTTGCGTGCCTCGACGTCCACGGCTTCGCCGGGGAAACCGCGGCCCTCTGGCCCCGCGGCGGGGGGCGCGTCTTCGTCGCCGCGCTGAGCCTCGGCGACGCGCCCGCGGCCGCGCGCCGCGCGGTCCTGCGGCGCGTCGCCCACTTCGACGCCTTCTGGCTCCTCACGGCCGAGAACGGCACGGCGACGACCTTCGCGCGCGCGCGCCGCGACGCCGCGCCCGTCGCCGAGGTCCGCGCGGCCGCGGACGCGCGCGACTGCGCGCTGCCGCCGCCCCTCGGCGCGGCGCCGGAGCACGCGGCCGCCGCCGTCGTCTGCCCGTCGGGCAACTACGGGTCGACGGCCGTGACCTGGACCGAGCGGCGCGCGGCGACGTCGCGCGAGGACTTCGAGGAGGACGTCGTCGTTACGGTGGGCGCGCGGGAGACGCTGCCCGTCGCCGCCGCCGCGGCCCTGGCCCCCTGCCCCCGGGCCGCCGGCGGGGCGAAGCTGCTCGCGTACGACCCCCTCTGGCGCGGCTGGACCGCGGACGCCGCGCTCGAGCGCTTCGCGGCGTCGGACGCGTACGCGGCCGCGGCGGCCGGCGGCGACGGCCTCGGCGCGCTGGCGCGGCGCCACGCCGCGGCCTGCCTGCGCTGGACCCGGCTCTGCGTGTCCCAGGACTTGGCGGCCCACGAGCCCTGCCAGGGCGTGCTCCGGGGCGCGGTGGAGCCGCAGCACGCGCCGTGCGTGCGGCACGGCGCGCTCCGCGGCGCCGACGGCCGCGCGCGCGCGTCCGCCGCCCTCGCGTCCTGCCACGGCCGCGTCGCGGCGCCGTTCCCCCTCGAGGGCCCCTACGACGCGCCCGCGGCGCCGGCGCCCGCCGTCGCGGAGCGGCGCGAGGCCGTCGCGGGCGTGCTGGGCCCCGGCTGCCGGAGGCTCTGCCACGTGGGCGCCAACGTCCTGTCGCCGGCGAGCTACTGGCTCGCGGTCACGCACGACGACGTCGACGTGACGCTCTTCGTCGTGCCGGCGCCGCAGGGCGGGGACGACGACGACTTCCGCGTCCTCGAGGCGACGGCGCGCGCGCTGCCCCCGGGCAAGCGCCTCGAGGCCGTCGCCCTCAACTCGCTCCGGGCCCTCGAGGCGCGGGCCGTCGCGCCCTACCGCGGGACCTGCGACGCCGTCTACGTGGACCTCTGGAACCTCGGCGCGGTCGCCGCGCGGGACCTCGGAAACGCCGCGCGGCTCCTCCGCGGCGCCTCGTCGCGGCTCCTCGCGCCCGCGCGCATGGACCGCCCCCACCTCTGGCCCGAGGTCGGCCGCTTCGCCTTTTCGGACCAGGCCGCCTACGACCGGCGCGCGGAGACGCGCAACGGCACGTGCGTCGACTGGGCCGCGGTCGACGGTGCGGGCGCGCCGGCCGTCGACTTCGCCGACTGCGCCGAGGCGACGGGGCGGAACCTCGTGGGCCTGGGCGGGTTCCTGTGGCACGCCGTGCCGGACGGCGCTCTCGCGGCGGCGGAGGCGCGCGAGGCCGCGGCGGCGGACGCGGCGGACGTCCCCGACGCGGAACCGCGCGGCGCGGCCGCGCCGGACGCGGGCGTCGCGCTGGCCCCGGGCTGGCTGGCCCACCACGCCGGCGCCTGCGACTTCGTGCTCGTGACCTGCGCGCGCGAGGGCGACGTCGCGCGGGCCCGCGAGGCGCTCGGCGTCATCGCGTCCGCGGTGCTCTCCGCGCCGCGGGGCCCGCGGCGGCACGCGCTGCGCTTCACCGTGTTCTGCAACCACGTCGCGGCGAAGGTGCTGCGCCGGTCCATGCAGCGGCTCATGGACATGGCCTGGGGCCGCTTCGGCGGCGAGGACCTCGTCGTCTACTTCGACGCGACCTGGCCCGACCGCGTCCCCGAGGCGGCGAAGGCGCACCTCATGCTCTTCAAGCCCTGCGCGACCGTGAAGCTCTTCCTGCCCCAGATTCTAGACCCGACGATCCGCTGGGCCGTCTACCTCGACACGGACGTCGTCTTCGCGGCGGACCCGGCCGCGCTCTGGCTCGGCGCGGTGGGCACGCTCGCGGCGGCCGGCGCGGCCGTCGCGGCCGCGGCCGAGCACGGCGACGTCGCGCCGTCCTGCGAGGGCTCCGCGGAGCACTACTACAACCAGAGCGCCGCGGCCCGGGCCCTCCCGCGCGCCTTCCCGGACGACGGCGCGAACACGGGCGTCCTCGCGCTCGACGCGGCGGCCGCGCGCGACGCGGGCTGGGGTCCGACGCTCGCGGCCGTCATGGCGGACCTCGCCGCGACGAAGGCGAACGGGTCTTTGGACTTGGGGGATCAGTCGGTCTTCAACGTCGCCGCGGGCGGCGACCAATTCACCGTCGCGCGCCTGCCCTGCGAGGCGAACTTCCGGACGGACTTCTGCCAGCACGCGGCCTACGACTGCGACCGCTGCGCGGCCGCGCCCCTCCTCCTCCACGCGCCGCGCTCGGCCTTCCACGAGGGGAAATTCGCCTACGCGCCGGCCTTCGGCCGCCTCTACGCCTTCTTCCTCGACGCGCTCGACTCGCACGACGACGGCGCGGGGCTCGCGGCCGCGGCCGCGCGCGCGGCGGCCGACTTTGAGCGGCTCCTCGACGACGGCCGCGCGGTCGCGCGGCTCCCGTGCCGGGCCATCGCCGAGCTCGCGCTCTCTCTCGTCCGGGCGGCGCCCACGAGGTAACACGAGTGGTTGATCTTCAAGAACCATCCGAACACGAGCCGAAACTGAGGCCTATTATTATTATTGGAGATTTTGCGTCGGAGAAGCCGCATGCCCAAGAGCACACGCGGCCGATAGGTCTCGGACTATCCTCCCGCTGCCCAAGGCGCTCGCGTTCCTGGAAGCGAACGCGCCGATCGGGCGCCGTCGTCACCAAGAACTACGAGTTCCGAGAGGGGTCTCACAGGCGCCGGAGGCGCCAGTGGACGGCGGCGTCCTGGCGCAGGCGCCAGTGCACCTCGCAGTAGGGTTTGATCTCTGTTCTTGCCTTGACGCGTCTCTAAACGTAGGGGGGGCGAGAGGAACCGCGAGCGCCGTCTCGAAGCAGAAGTGTTGATAGTGATAGAACTTAAGGAGCAGCCGGAGTCGGAGAGAGAACGCAAGAGAGAGCACGAAGGGGTTCGGATTCCAGATTCGGCTGAGGGTGAGGGTGAGGGTTCACGAAAGGGGCGGGTTCTGGATTTGGGTTCGGATTCGGATTCGGATTCGGGGCGCGAGCCGGGGCGCGCGAACCGAAGGGAGGGGGGACGCGCGGAGCGCGCGCGACGACGCGCGGGACCCGCGGGGCTCCTAGTGCATCGAGCAGCCCATCTCGAGCTCGTCGGCGAGGAGCTTGTCCGTGTCGTAGTGCGTGACCTCGAGGTCGCGGTAGCGGAGGTCGCTCGAGCCCTCGGTGACCGTGACCCACGAGTTCGCGCGGACGCCGCGGACCGTCTGCGGCGCCGCGCCCGCGATGGGCCAGGCGATCTCGACGTCGACGACGCCGTCGGGGCCGATGTCCCCGAGGCCGATGTGCTGGATCTTGACCGGGTTCGACCCGAAGGACGCGGTGAGGCCCTGGGTCATGTAGATGTTCCGGCCGTCCGCCGTCGTCACCTTGAGCCGCGCGCCCTGGCCGAGCTTGTTCGATTTCACGCCCACGAGGCTGAGCTTGAGCCAGGAGTTGTGGAAGAACGTGCCCGGGTTGAGGAAGAGGGCGTCGAACATCTTGTCGCCGACGACGCCGCCGCCGAGCGAGATCGACACGTCGACGTGGCCGTCGTTGTTGACGTCCGCGAAGGCGATGCCGTGGCCCTTCTGGAGGTGGCCGAAGCCGCCGGAAAAGGTCACGTCCTGGAAGCCCTTGCCGCCGTCGTTGCGGAGCATGCTGTTGGGCTGGAGGGCCCGCAGGTCGGGCATGGACGTGCCCGTGTAGACGTCGAGGAAGCCGTCGTTGTCGATGTCGCCAAAGTTCATGGACATGGCGCCGATGGTTTTGCCGACGCCCGGCGTCGTCAGGCTGATGTCGTCGAAGCGGCCCGTGCCGTCGCACTTGTTCCGGTAGAGGCGGTTGTGGCGGCTGTGCTCGCCGACGCGGCGCTCGACGATCGCCTCCTCGCGCCAGGGCTCGCCCGAGTAGAACGCGAAGGTCTCGCCCGGGTCCGGCGACCGGTGCGCGGCGACGAGCACGTCCTCGCAGCCGTCGTTGTCGAAGTCCATGAACCCGACGGGGAAGCCGAGGCGCGGGTGGTCCCGGACGCCCTTGGCCCCCGCGACCTCGAGGAAGCCGGTGCCCTTCTGGTTGTGGTAGAGGTAGTTCGGCCCGGACATGGTCGACACGAAGAGGTCCGGGTAGTTGTCGCCGTCGATGTCGCCCCAGGCGACGCCCTTGACCCAGCCGCAGGTCTCGACGCCCATGGCTTGGGCGACGTTCGTGAACGTGCCGTCGCCGTTGTTGCGGTGGAGCGCGCAGGGGTTCTGCTCGTTGCCCACGTAGATGTCGAGGTGGCCGTCGAGGTCGAAGTCGGCCCACTCCGCCGTGTGCGTGCCCTGGTACGTCACCGTGCCCGCGCTGTAACTCACCTCCGTGAATGTCGCGGCGCCGCCGGGCGCCGCGTCGTTGCGGAGGAGCGAGTTGGGCAGCTGGAGGAAGGGGCTCCAGCCGCCGCGCGCGGCGAAGAGGTCGAGGTCGCCGTCGTTGTCGTAGTCCGCCTGCTTGAAGAGGTGCACGGAGCCGACCTGCTTGATGGACGACGCGAGCGACGCGTCGACGAAGGTCCCGTTGGCCTGGGCCTTGAACTGGGACGACAGGCGCCCGCCGGGCCACTGGAGCATGCCGCCGGCGACGTGCTCGAGCGTGCCGTCGTCGTAGGAAAAGTCGTCGGCGGCGACGGAGCCCGTGATGCCGTAGAAGTCGAGGCCGAGCGCCTTGGCGACGTTCGGGAACTTGCCCACGTCGTAGTCCGAGTCGAAGGCGGACGCGGGCAGGCGCCAGGCCTCGGGCACGCCGCCCGGCCAGGTGCCGAGCTGCATGTGGACGACGTTGAGCATCCACTTGGACGCCTGCGAGCCACCGTCGAAGACCTCGAGCTCGAGCGTCAGCCACTTCGCCGCGGCCTTGGCGCCGCTCGGCTCGACGTGGACGCCGTGGCCCGCGAGGGGCATGACGCAGGACTCGCCCGTGTGCTGGAGCGCGCAGTTGTCGAACTCGCCGCGGCGCACCTCCGCGAGGACGATCAAGCGCCGGAGCAGCGTCTCGGCCATCGTCGTCGCCGCGGGGTCGCGGCAGGTCCGGCCGGGCCGCAGCAGGCTCTTTTCGCAGATCTCCTCGAGGAGCGGGATGGCGAACTCGTTCTGGTTGTCGAAGATCGCGTGGTGCGCGAGGAACATCTTCGCGGCTTCCGCGTCGACCGGTCGCGCCGCGCCGTCCGCGGCGGCCCGCTCCAGCGCCCGCACCTTCTCGAGCTTCTTCGTGCGGCCGTAGAGCGGCGAGTTCATGACGAAGCGCAGGCCCGGGCCCCGGATGAGGTGGTAGATGAAGCCCCGGTGGTCCTCAACGTCGAACGACGGCGCGCGGTCGATCGCGCCGAGGAAGTGGTGGTGGATGAAATCCGGCGCCAGGGGCGGCGGGCCCGTGCGCGTGATCAGGGCCAGCAGGCTGATGCGGTCGAGCGGGATCTCGCCCCGGAGCCCCTTCCACAGGCCCTGGAGGAACGTCTCGCCCTCCGGCGGCTCGAGGTCGACGCCGTTCACGGACGGCCAGAGGTCGCTCTCCGTGAGCGTGTACCACTCCGGGTGCTCGAAGAACTGGATCCACTGGAGCTCCTTGTGCGCCATGAGCGGCGACGCGTTGTCCTTGAACGAGATGCGGAGGTTCCGGCGGACGCGCTCGAACGTCCGCAGGAACTCGCCCGTGTGCTCGTACTCGGGCACCGCCGGGCAGCCGTAGAACTCGCAGAACGACCCGGCCTCCTCGGGGTCGTAGCAGTCCCAGTCGTGGTCGACCATGTAGAGCTTGAGCCCGACGAGCACGGCCACGTGCAGCAGGACGACGACGCCGGCGAACGCGCCGGCGCCCTTGGCGACGCCGCCGAGGACGCCCATGGCTGTGTGCGTTCCTCGACGGCCGGTTGCGGCAGCGGTCGTGGTGGCGGGCTGGGCTGCGGCGGTGGTGGCGTGTAAAAGGGTTCTCAGGAACTCTTGACAAGGCGTCACTACCTGATCGAAAAAAAAAAAAAAGGGACGTCGAAACTAAATTACTGTGTAGATCTCACATATTGAAGCGAGCGGTGGCGGAGGATCGGTCCCTGCACGACGGTCCGGCCCCGGGACGGGGGCCGGGGACGGCGGGCACGGGGGTTCCGGCACGGTAAATGCGCTCCGGGCACGCGGCCCGGCACGGGCCCGGCACGCGGCACGGCACTCGGCACGGGCCCCCGGGCACGGGCCGGGCACGGGCCACGCGGCCCGGCACGGGCCCGGCACTCGGCACGGGCCCCGGGCACGGGCCGGGCACGGGCCGGGGAGGCCCGGCACGGGCCCGGCACGGGGCCCCGGGCACGGGCCGGGGACGTGGCCGGGGACCGCGGCACGCATCGTCGCGCAGGGGCCCCTCGGAGGCTTCGAGGCTGGGTCGGTCGAGGCCGCCGAGGCCAGGCTGCTGCCGCTCGTGAACGGGCCCCTGCACGACGGTACGGCCCCAGGACGGGGGCCGGGGACGGCGGGCACGGGGGTTCCGGCACGGTAAATGCGCTCCGGGCACGCGGCCCGGCACGGGCCCGGCACGCGGCACGGCACTCGGCACGGGCCCCCGGGCACGGGCCGGGCACGGGCCACGCGGCCCGGCACGGGCCCGGCACTCGGCACGGGCCCCGGGCACGGGCCGGGCACGGGCCGGGGAGGCCCGGCACGGGCCCGGCACGGGGCCCCGGGCACGGCCCGGGCACGGGCCGGGGACGTGGCCGGGGACCGCGGCACGCACCGTTGTGCAGGGCCCCCTTCGTGAGTGCAGCTGCATTCGACAGCCCCGAGAGCGCCTTCGACGAACCGCCCGGGCGCGAGCGCAGGTGTATGGTCCGGGCCTTTTACCGCTGCGTCCCCGAGTTGCCGCGCGCGGGGTCGCGGAAGCCCTCCCTCTCCGCCTGGAGGAACCGCCTGTCCCGCCACGCCCGCTCCTGCCCCGCGTCCCAGAGGCAGTCCTCCGACTCGAGCTCCTCGGGTGGGGGGACGAGGCAGTCGTCGTCGGCCGCGTCGTCGACGACGCCCGCGCCCGCGACGACCCCGCCGCCGTCGGCCGTCGCGAGGCGGTGCAGGACGTCGTCCGCGAGCGGGGTCGTCGCGACGCCCAGCACCGCGGCGTTCGTCAGCAGGCGCTGCTTCCACGTCGTCGGCGACGCGCCGACGCGCACGAAGGCGAAGCGCGTGTAGGCGCCGGGGCCCGCGAGGGGCGTCGTCAGCGCGACGTCGCCGTCGCCGACGGCCGCGCCGTAGTAGACGCCGCCGAACGCCTCCTCGCGGTTCGCGCTCGACGCGTCGGCCTTGAGGAGGCCGAGCTCGATGGCGCTGTGCGCGCAGGCGAACTGGTGGCTCCACTTGTACTGGGGGCCCTCCCGGGCGTCGGCGAAGCGCGCGTTCTCGAAGGAGCACCGCGGCGCGCGCTCGCCGGACGCGATGAGCCGCACGTTCTCGCAGAGCCGCGGCAGCCGTTCGAAGGAGCTCAGAGCGATCTCGATCCTCCCCAACGACGCCGTGCTGGTTGCGACGTCGAAGTAGATCTTCGGCGGCGCCAGCGCGACGGTCACCGGTGCCAGCAGAGGGAGCAAGAGTATCGCGCTCATTGCGAGAGCCGAGCGCATTGCCCTGAGCTGCAATCTGACCTCAAGGCTCTGCAAGGTTCTGAAGCTGCCCACCTTGAACGACGTTGTCGAGGGCTGCCCAGTCCGCGTCCGCGGCCGCCGGCGGCGCGCGCGCACCGCGCCGCGATCGCCATGGGTCTGCGCGCCATCGCCGACGCGGACCCCGACGGCGTCTGCCAGCGGCTGCTCGACGAGTGCGACTTCGAAACCACCACCGAGGCGGAGCTCGAGGACATGGTCCGGGAGCAGCTCGCGCTGCTGGAGGTCGGCGACCCGGGCTGCGCCTGGATCGGGCTGCGGGCCGCGCTCCGCGTGCCGAGCGGCTGGATCCGCTACCGGACGCACGAGGGCGACCTCTACTACCTGCGCGACGGCACCGAGGACTCGCAGCGGGAGCCAGGGCAGCGAAATTCCCAACTTCTATCTCGGTCGTTTTCCACTCGTTTCGGCTGATTTTTGGACGAGCGATCATCTCTCGGAACGGTCTCGAAGCGTGGATGTGTTTTCCGTAACGCGCGCGCGCGGAACACTCACGTTGAAGCGACTCTTGTGCTGCCCAGGTGGGAGCACCCGCTCGAGCCGGAGCTCCGGGCGCTCTACGCGCGCGCGCGGTCCCGGGGCAGCGGCCGGCCCGCGCCCCGGGGCAGCCCCGCGGGCTCGCCCGCGGCGGGCTCGCCCGCGGGCAGCCCCGGCGCGGCCGGGCCCGCGCGCCAGTTCGGCAGCCCCCGGTCGTCGGCCGGGAGCCCGACGTCGAGCGGCGGCAGCCCGCGGCGCGGCGCGAACAGCCCGCGCGGCGGCGCGAACAGCGGCGGCGGGAGCGGCGACGCGCTGTGCGCCATGTACGCCGCGTTTAAAGCCGCGGCGGCGGACGCGGACGCGGCCCGCGCGGCGCTCCGCGTCTTCGACGCCGAGGCGGCGGCGGAGCGGGTCGCGCTCCAGGGCGCGTACGCCGCGCGCGCGTCGCGGGCGCAAGCCGAGGCCCACGGGGCGTACGCGGCCCGAAGCGCGCGCGCGGACGCGGCCGCGGCCGCGGCCTTTCGAGCGGCGGGAGCCTCGGACCGCGCGGCGGTCGCGGACGCGGGGCGCGCGGCCGCCGCGGCCGTGGACGCGATGCGAGCCTCGGACCGCGCGGCGGCCTCGGACGCGGACGGCGCGGCGGCGGCGGCTCTGGACGCGATGCGGGCGTCGGACCGCGCGGCGGCCTTGGACGCGGACGGCGCGGCGACCGCGGCGTCGAACGCGACGCGGGCGTCGGACCGCGCGGCCGCCGCGCGCGACGCGGCGGCCGCGTGGCGCCTGAGCAACGAGGGCCTCCGCGCGGCGGCGGCGGCGGCGGACGCGGCGCGCGAGGCCGGCGCGGCGCGGACGCGGGAGCAGCTCGCGGCCGCGGCGGACGCGCGGTCCGCGCTCGAGGCGTCGACGCGCCGCGTGCTCGCGGAGCAGCGGCGGCAGGGCGACGACCGCGCCGCCGCGGCCGCGCTGGACCTCGCGGCGTCGACGAAGCGCTGCGCCGCCTTCGAGGCCCGGCTCCGCGCCAAGGAGGAGGCCCACGACGCGCTCCAGGAGCGCTTCGCGGCCCTCGCGCGCGCGGCGGAGGCCGCGGAGTCGGCGGTCGCGAAGGAGCGGCGCGAGGCGTCGCGGCTGCGGGCCGAGCTCACGAAGCTCGCCGTGCGCGACGTCGAGGCGGACCGGCGGGCCCTCGACAGCATGCGCACGATCCTGCCGCCGCCGCCGCCGGGGGACGAGGGGACGGAGCAGTAACCGGCGCGTAGTCCGTGGAAGGAGTAGGGACTTTGTGCGACACTGCGAGAAAATAATTGAGCGGGGCTAGGTGTAGGTTGCGTCCCCTTCGGGCCGTTGCTGTGCAAAGAGACGACAGTCCGTCGAGCGGGAGCCAGGAACGGTCCGGAGGGGACGTCGCATCTCTGCGACGGCGCGGCACGCGCGTGGCCGGACGCTCTCGGGCTGCGGACGCCGCCCGGACGGGTGCCGCGCGCAGCGTGGCCTCAGGCGACGCGTGGCCGCGACCGGCGCGGATCCCGACGCGCCGCGGCTCCACTTATTACATTACGCGTGCGAGATTCGGCTCTGGCCGAAGGCCCACCGCGAAGTCCGCGGCGTCGGAGATCGTTCCGCCGGCGCCGGCCGCGGGTCTCTCTCGCCGTGGCGGTCCGCGCGCGTATGTGGGGGAGGGGCGTAGCGCCCTTCCCCAGACCCCCTCCCCGTCCCTGCCGGGGGCCGGCCCCCGCGGGGCGGTCCGCGGCGCCGCGGACGCGGTCCCCGCCGGGCGCCGGCGCCGGCCGTCGGCGACGCGCCGCGGCTCTCTCGCCGTGGTTGTCCGCGCCCGCGAGGACGTCGAGGACATCTCCGACGCCGGGCCCGACCTCGGCCAAGGCCACGAGGGGGTCGGCGCTCCTCGGGACCGCAGACGCGGTCGCCACCCGACGTCTTCGGCGGCCGACGGCGTGCGCGCCGGCTGCAGGGCGGCGAGACGCGATGAAGCGCTGG